GGGGCTCGATCCAGGATCCTGAGATCATGACTTGAGCCGAAGGCAGAGGCTTAACCCACTGAGCCACCCAGGTGCCCCAAGGTCTTTGCTTATTCTAAATGAAGTATGGTGAAGGTGTTCTGATGTTTCTGAAGAGAGCCTAACCTAGGCCATGAAGAGGAAGGCTACTCACCTGCCTGTGGTGGTGAGAAGTCCAGGACTTCTACTATCTTCTGTGATAGAAGGTAATATATTTCTTCTGTCACAGAGCAGCCTAGAAAGGCCCAAAGATATTAGCAACCAAACAGAATCCCCACAAGGAGCAGAAAACACAGGGCACATGCTCCCCATCTTTTGGGGGAAATGACAGTCAACATAAGAGAAAGTGTAATGTTCAAATGAACATCCTAAAAACCTTTCACTTTTCCTTATATGAGATAAATACACTTGGAATCTTTTATCATGCTAACCAAGGGCAAATTCCTCATTAAAAAGAAAGATTTGCAAAAACTACTATAATTCTAGCAGGCTAAATTTTTAGCAATCTCTCAATCTAATACACATCTTTTTTTTTTTTTTAAGGTTTCCATTTGTTTATTTGGCAGACAGATCACAAGTAGGCAAAGAGGCAGGCAAAGAGAAAGAAAGGGAAGTAGGATCCCCAATAAGCAGAAAGCCCAATGCAGGGCTCAATCCCAGGACCCTGAGATCATGACCTGAGCCGAAGGCAGAAGCTTTGACCTACTGAGCCACCCAGGTGCCCCCTAATACACATCTTAACAAAATTACAAAACTACATTTTGCTTACATTAAATAAATGAATGAAATCACATATTCATTTCTACACAAAAAGCTTCGCAGTACAATTTCATCATTGTAAGAGGTGGAGAAATGCCATATAAATGCATAATTTTCAGTACGTTCTTAGCTCTATGAGCTACCATGTACTACTAAGAAAGGAAAAAGTAGGTGCTGTTTTTTTCTGGAAAAACAGGATCTCTCAAGGTCAAGATAGGAAGCTGACACAAGAGTTCTAATGCCAAGCAACTATCCCATAAACCTACATGGACATGGTGTACAAAGATGGGCTTGCTCTCTTCAGCCCATTATGCATCTACCAGAAGTAACAGTTAGCAGCAGCACATCTGGATGCATAATTCAATTACTGATAGTAAAAGCACATATATTCAGGCTGTATTAGTCTGAAATGTAGAATAATTTTCTTCAATTCTACATATTAAAAACTCTAAATTATTCTTTATCAGGAAATTTTTCAACAATGAACTCAAATATTAGGACCTAAAATTCAGTTCTTTTTTCATAACAACTATATAATATTTTAAGAATTTGTTTCTTTTAACTTATAAATTTTAAAACTCTAGGAAAATTAAGTAAATCAGACTATTCATGAATTATAATTTTTGACAACTTTTCAAGTTAGTTTTACTTCATAATATGTACTTAAACTTCTTTATCAATACTTTAATAATTAAATTTATTTTCTTTAAAAATTCTCCTCTCCATTAAGTCAAACTAGCTCTGCCTTCACTATTTTGAACAAATAAGATAATATCCCTGTATTGGCATATACACACACAGAGTTTATTACAGTTTTAAGAAATGTAGTACTCTGGTCAATTCTAAAAGTAGGAATATATTATTTGAATAGGTAGTTTATAAAATGTGACGCAAAGACAAATTACATTATTTACTAATACTATTGGACTAAAGCAATACAAATCCTGAGGCATTCTTGTCAAAATAAATTTAATGAAGTGAAATGTTGACAAAAATTCTCTGTATTGAACATTCTATCTGAACACTATATATATATGGAGTTTTAGTTCATTTACTGACTAAACATCAATGGAAATTTTCCAAATACACATTTTTCTTATAAAAGTTCGTGAAAACTATAATCAAAAGCAACAGTTCAAAATACACATAAAAGATTAAAAGCAAACATAACAAACAGTGATTATATGAGGACAGAATGCTATTCTCCCTCTATTTTCCATTTTTGTAATGTTTATTTAAATTTTGGAAAAGTATATATATTTTTAAGCAACAGTCTCTTGCATCAAGAAAAGAATTACAGGGGCAGTGGCCTTTCCTAAAATGACAAGCCAATACCCTTGGGCTCATAGTCATACTAAAGCTGGCAAGACTTCACATTCCTCAGCACACAATGGATCTTTCATCAATACTGGAAACTGCCTTTGTGAGAATATTTGCTAAGAATGAATGGAATTCTCAATGTTGTAAGCACCCATTGAATTATTTAAAAGAACAATGAATGAATGACTAATTAGAAATGTTTCTTGACCTCAGGGATATTTATATTCCTAAAGAAAAAACCTAAATCTAGCATTTTCTCCAGAGCAGTTAAGAAGAACAGATTAAGTTTGTTAACTACAGCCACTGGTTCCCAAATGCTTTGTTATCAAAACTATTAGAGTCGCCTTTTCTTGACCAACTAATAATTTTAAGTACTTCTCGACTCATAAATATTGTTTGCATGTTTGCTGATATGTTCTTTGCTCCATGAAAGAAAACCAACAATGAAATGAAACTTGATCCTCAATGTCTCCCTTCACCCCAAAAAGAAGCACTTTTGTTTTTTGTTTTTCTGGGTTTTTTAAATTATTTATTTAAGTAAGCTCTGTGCCCAGTATGGGGCTCAAACTTATGACCCCAAGATCAAGAGTCACATGCTCTTTGGACTGTGCCAGTTAGGCACCCCAAAGATGAACCTCTGAATGAGTAACTATAAAACTAGATAAAGACAATCTAATACTAAGTTTAAAAAAAAAAAAAGTTTAGGGGCACCTGGGTGGCTCAGTTGTTAAGCATCTGCCTTAGGTTCAGGTCATGATCCCAGGGTCCTGGAATGGAGCCTGGGATCAAGCTCCCTTCTTGGCGGGAAGCCTGCTTCTCCCTCTCCCACTCCCCCTTGTGTTCCCTCTCTCACTGTGTCTCTCACTGTCAAATAAATAAAATATTAAAAAAAAAGTTTATGTCTCAAAAACTCATATATATGCTAATTTAAAATCACTTAAAAATACATATTCTTTGGAAGAATATAAGGAAATAATAAACACTGACTTCAGGATGATGGTTAGCTTAAATGAAGGATGGCCATGGGATGGATTAATGAAAAGGATAATACAGTTAAGATTATTACCAGTGTCCTAGCTTTTGTTTCAAGGATTTTGCTTGTGTTTTTTGTTTGGTGGCAGATTCCCAGGTGATTATGATACCATTTTAAAATAGAGATGGATAGATGGTTGATAGATAGATTAGGATAGACAGAAGGATCGATCGATCAAGTAAAACAAGTATGGACCAATGATGACTATATTATGAACCAAAAATCACTAAACCTGAAATGAAAGGACATGAAACTATCCACCATGATATGAAAATAAAAATTCTTTACAACATGTGGATTAACATCCAACCTACAATCCCTGGATCAACTCAAAAGTCATTCATCCAGATTTTGTAATTTTCTTCTTCCACTTTACTAAACACTTTCAATTTTGCTGCACAAAGTGACCAGTGAGACTTTCTAATATCATCAATGGACCTTCTGCTCAGAGAGTACTACACTAAACAGAAAGGGGCAAAAAAACAGCACAAAGGAAAATGCTGCTGTCTCTCCCACAGACTCTCTGGAATGGGGCTGAAAATGCCCACAAGCCTCTGAATAGGCAATTGGTGATTCTTATCCATACTGTCAATACTTATTAAGTTCTAAGTGTATGTCACATGTCATGAAAAGCACTAGAATCCTTCCAATTTATGATTAGGACAGTCCTAACAGATTCTTATGTCTAGTCCATCGCTTTCCAGACAGCCCAGAATCAACATATCCTCAGGTCAAAGAATCGAGATAGTACACAGTTACAGTGGAAAACAGTATGGAGGTTCCTCCAAAATGTAAAAACAGAAACATCATATGATCCAATAATTCCATTCTTGAGTACTTACCCAAAAACAAAACCACTAATGTCAAAAAGACATATGCACTGCTATGTTTATTGCAGCATTATTTACAATAGCCCAAATATGGAAGCAACCCAAGTACCCATCAATAGACAAATGGATAAGGAATATGTGGTGTATATAAAAGAGTATTCCACAACCATAAAAAAGGATGAGATCATGCCATTTGAGACAACATGGATGGACCTATAGGATATTATGCTAAGTGAAATAAGTCAGGCAGAGATAAATATCATATGGTTCTACTCATTAGTAGAATCTAAAAAACAAATGAATAAACAAACAAAAAAGCAGAATCAGACTTATGAATACAAAGACCAAAATGATGGCTGAGGTAAGGGAGAGGGGTGGGGGGGTTGGGCAAATGGGCAAAGGGTAGTGGGAGATACAAGCTTCCAGTTATGGAATAAGTCATGGGAGCGGTGTATGGGTGGCTAGTCAGGTAAGTGACTGCCTCTTGGTTTCAGCTCAGGTCATGGTCTCATGGGTCATGAGATCAAGCCCCACATCAGATTCCCTGCTCAGCAGAGAGTCTGCTTGAAATTCTTTCCCTCTGCCCCTCCGTCCCAACTCCGTGCTCTCTCTCTCTTTTTCTCTCTCTCTAAAGTGGATAAATAAATCTTAAAAAAAAAAAAAGTCATGGGAATAAAAGTTATCGCATAAGGAATACAGTGATACGGTAATAGTGACATATTGGGTAAGATGGTAACTACACTCGTGGTGAACATAGCATAATGTATAAACTTGTCAAATCACCATGTTGTGCACCTGAAACTAATGTAACATTGATGTCAACCATACTCAAAACAAAAACAAAAACAAGATAACTTTCAGGTATGTTATTTGGCTGCTTACCTATACACACAAATGTTGAAGCAGCTCCTTTATAAAGTAAGATTATAATGGCTCCCCAAAGTTAAAAGATTTCAAATCTCTATTACAAGAATTGGGGATGGGGAGGAGATTTTCCCAACAGATTAAGTTTCACACGGAAGTGTTGTTGTTTGTTTTACCTGCTATCTCCAAAAGTGAGTTTACATGATCTCCTTCTGCCAGCTTGACAAATCCAACCTGATTTCTAAAAGTGTCAATCCCTTGAAAGGGCAAAATCAACTGTTTCCCTTGGAGGATTTCTTCTATGAATGGTTTTAATTCCAAAAGAGCACCAATACCACTGGTAAGAGAAAATACAATTTTCAGTAACATATTAAGTGTAATAAAATATATAAAAAAATCAGTTTTAGAAAGATGAATTTTGATATCTGTTCTAGTTAAAGCTCAAAAATAACTTCAAAACCTAATCCATATGATTAAAAAAATTTTTTTAACTTTTATTTCTTTTTCTTATTATGTTCTGTTAGCCAACATACATCATTAGTTTTTGCTGTAGTGCTAAACGGTTCATTAGTTGCATATAACACCTAGTGCTCATCACTACACATGCCCTCCTTAATATCCATCACCCAATTACCCCATCCCCTGACCCCTTCCCTTCTGTAACCCTCAGTTTGGTTTCCGGAGTCCAGAGTCTCACATAGTTTGTCTCCCTCCCTGATTTTTAAACAAAAGTTACAGAAGAAGTGAATTAAATCTTCACTTAATTATAATTTGTATTATATTAAAGACATGAAAGAACATACTATTTTATAATTCACCAAGAAGCTTTTACTCAAGGGAAGACTACATGGACAACTCAAAAAATATTACTGATAATATATTCAAAAAAGTCTAATACCACAGGATCTTATATTAGATTATGTGGAAAGATCTGGACTCTTATTTAAAGTACTAATACAGTATTTACTATCTGCAAACGACTCTACTAAAACTTAATATTCATTATCTCTTAAACTATAACAGCCTCCATAATGAGGTAATACTGTAACTGGATTAAACAAAATACAAGCTTATATTTGCCAACTACAACCATGTAAGTTTATTTCTGTTTAACCTTTGTGATTTTAGGACGACACTTTCATTTTTCTTTGTTTACTTATTTTATTTTATTTTTATTATAGGACTATGCTTTTTTTTCTTCATAATAACAAATGTCTACTATATGAATGAATTAAACATTATCAGGTTTGGAATATTTTGAAAATTAGGATAAGTTATTCCAGTGTAGGGATGTTGTTATGAGAAAAAAATTAAAATCTCACTAGAGGGCAGCAATTACTCCAAAAAGAAACAGATACATTCTTACATAATGCAGAGAGGGCTTTTAAAACACCCTCCTGATGAAGTATCAGTAATTTAAACTATCTTAATCAGTGTGATCTGTTCACCAGCAACTATATGTCAAATGTGTGAAAAGAAATTTAGGTATTTTTCTAGCCTTTTCATATTTCTAAATTAGTTTTCATATAAAGTGTGTAACTGATGTTATCCATAACTTCATACTGAGTTCCAATTCTCATCTATGCCATAACAAAGTATACAATACTTCAAAATACCTTTGGAAAGTCAACATTTCTCATTGCACCTCCAAATGCACATACTGAATCCAGTCTTTCCTGACTGTATTTATGTTCATCCAAAGAGACACAGTGTACATACTTCTACTGCAAGACTGTCCTTCACTGTGTGCTGGGAGTTAGAGCTTGTGAAAATCAAATGGCCACTTCTGGTTCACCTTTCATAAACTGGGGAATTCAAGACACTCATTTTAAATGTAACTATATACTAAAGCAGGCCATGCTAAAGGTTAGGGCTTTTCATAGACTGTGAATTCTAGATGCCATTTTTTCATTAAAGAAATATAGATGATCTAAACTCGGTCCAGTTTGTTTTCTTCAGATCTCTAGGAGCATAAACCAATAAATAACTCCCAGTGAGGTATCACCGATCACAGAGTAAGAAAAACTCATAGTGTCTACTGGTAAGTATCACTAACTTTCAAATTCTTTTAAATAGAGTATCTTTCCAAGAGTGATTTATGGAAAGCCTTCTTTATGGTAAAATGAATAAAAATTATATGCATACATGAAATAGAACTCTGAAACCAGAGTTCAGACCTAAAGATGTATCTGAAATTAAGGCAGTACAGCCATCTTCTCAACTCAAGAGCTGGGTTTGGACCTACAAATTCTGTGCCTTTCTTCTACACTGTGAGCAAAGGACTAGAGGTGATATCTAAAGAAATTCACGATTTAAAAAAAAAAAAATTTTTTTTTTAAGTAATCTCTGCACCCATTGTGGGGCTTAAACTCACAACCCTGAGATAAAGAGTCGCATGGTCTACTGACAAGGCCAGCCAGGCACCTGGAAGAAATTCATGATTTTTAAAAAATGCTTCTGCATACTCCATACCCAACCCACTGATCAGTGTATCATTAAACACCTAAATAATGATACTAGATTTTGAAAAGTAAGAACATAGAACAAGGAACTGATAACATAGATGTCAGCATATTATACAATGCAGGATGAAAGGTAAAATTAAAAGATTAGAGACTTAGAAAATCCTTCATATAAATAATGGTTTACCAGAAAACTCAACCAGTTTCTCTCTCACTATATAGCTACCAAAAGTGAAGTCACATCTTGATTCTGTTCCTCATTTAAAAGTTAACACTATTAGGGGGCCTGGGTGGCTCAGTCCAGTTAATGAGTGGCTGACTCTTGATTTAGCTCAGGTCATGATCTCAGGGTCCTGGGATCCAGCCACGTATTAGGATTCCCACTCAGCAGGAAGTCTGCTGGAGGATTCTCCCTCTCCCTCTGCCCCTGCCACGTGCGTGCTCACACTTTCTCTCTCAAATAAATACATGAATCTTTTTTAAAAAACAAAATAAAGGGGCGCCTGGGTGGCTCAGTCGTTAAGCGTCTGCCTTCCAAGAGTCCTGGAATCAAGCCCTGCATAGGGCTCCCTGCTCGGTGGGAAGCCTGCTTCTCTCTCCCACTCCCCCTGCTTGTGTTCCCTCTCTCGCTATGTCTCTCTCTGTCAAATAATAAAATCTTTCAATAATATAAATAAATAAATAATAAAAACACTGCCACAGACACCTCCCTGGTTTCCCAAACTAGTAGCAAATCTTCACTCCTTTGAAATTTCATTAATACTTTTTATCTTATGAAATATACTAGTTTTTAGATTTTCCTATTACAGTAATTTGAGTTCATATGGTATCTAGTCAACCTAATCATATAATCCACGAGCATAAGAGCCATTCCTGATTGATCTTCATTTTCCCCAAAGCACTCTGCTCAGTATCTTGCACGTGACTGATAACACTGGTTGAGCTGCAAAACATTATCTTGTCTAGATAGCAAACCTCATTTATTTATTAGATTTTTCATTATAACTTTGTCAAGAAGAATTCCTAAACTGCAAATACCTGGTCACCATCTTCTAGTAGATAGAATATTCCCAGTATCATAAAGTTGCAGAGGGATGCCACTTCAAACACAAAGCTGACTGGGTACACATTTCTTTTTTTCCACAGAACTAAAAGTCTTTGCAAAAAGCCCTCATAAATTAAAAAAAAAAATTTTTTAAATCTTTAAAAAAAAAAAAAAAACCCTGGTAAAACATGGGGCTGAATGACGCAGAGTGTCACCATGCTCTCCTCACAGGGATTCTTCAATGTGTAATGCCATGACTTAGGGCAAGACGCTGCTGCCTTGTTCAGAATGGTCCCATGCGCTGCAGATGGCTTAGTGACTGTCACTCCTGCCCATCAAGGGCTCACAGCACTCCTCAGTAATCGTGACAACCAAAATACCTCACCCCCAAATATCTCTAAAAGTCTCCTGGAGAAGGCAGTCCAGCCTCCACTGAGAAATGGAGGCAGCACGATACAGTGGAGGCACACCTGCCCCCCACCTCACCCCCACTGCACACCACGTGCTCATCAGTGGAGGCCACTGAGGTACAGGAAGCCATCCATACCTGTGCAGACTGATCTTTCCCACTTCTCTCATGCCCCTATGCTCATCCTCTCCCTCCTGTCTCCACCCCACCCCTTCCCTTTGTATCTCCTCGTCTTCCACACACACACCCCATGGAGTAATAAGAGAACTGACTAGTTCTGGCTACTCGACTGACCAGTATTTGCTTAATTCCTCAGGCTCTTGCTTCTTCATATGTATAAGAGATATGGCATTTCTGTGCTGCCTCCCAATACCATTAAGAGAATAAAAGGAAATAGTATTTGTATGGTGGATGGAAGCCGAGGAGCAGAGGCTGATGTAGACATGCCATAAGCCACGGCCAAGACCCCCTTCTGAAATAGAGATAAACTTAAACTTACTGATCAGTGGTGATTCAATATTTTCTAGTTTAAAAAAGTCTCTTTGGGGTGCAATTATTCAGTTAATTCAAACCTCCTTTCAGGAGTTTATCCCTTCACTCTCTCCTCCTTCTTCCCAAGGAATCCAGCATACCCTTCTAAAAGAAGTCAGGAAGATCTCTGGACTGCTTGCTGTTTGAGTCCTCAGAGATTCCCATTTCAGAGAGACTGGTCCGGTCACATCCCTGGGTGCCCTGTTTCAGGGTCCATGACAGCATGCTTGTTCCTTCTGGCCATTGTACCAGCAGGTACTGCTGAAGCACAAGATCCCTGCCAGAGTCTCTGATCAAGAAACATGGATGTTCAGTAGTGTCCTCATCCCTTACCCAGCTCCTTCTGATTCACAAATTCTTTCTGAGTTGGACTTCCAAGTCCACCCACCAGGGCACAAGAAACTTCTGCATCCATCTTTATGTCTTGATAGACAATGGGGATTTGTAGGAACTACCTCAGGTCCACCCGTTAGAGATCTTCCTTGACTCTAATCTACCACCTTTGTGACACCACATTCTTCCAGCATTAGTTGAACGGAACTTCTCTAAAAAGCTTGAGTGTTCCCCAGCCACAGCCTGAGAACCCCAAACCAACGTGAGTGTCTCTATCATTCCTAATTCTCTGCTTCAGCACTGGTGGGAGCCGGGGTTGGAAAGAACATTCAACCCCAACAGAGGAGCCAGAACGTTGTGCCTGGCTTCATGCCTCACTACTCCACCAGTGGAGTCCTTCCCACCCAGGACAATAAGACTCAGAGCAGCCACCTCAAAGTTGTCTGTGCTTTCACTGACCACACTGAAGTTCTTTTGAATTTGTTGCTAGTTCGATATCTCCTACTTGCCACCCCTTATACCAGCTCACCAAGAGGAAAGACTGAGGTCCCCCAAGAAAGAAGGAATTCTGCCTCCAAACTGCCTTTGGACTTGAGACTACATCAACACTTCCCTGGATTTTGGACTTGTCAGTCTCCACAGTCACATGAGCGAATTCCTTAAAATAAATTCTTTATGTAAGTGTAGATACAGACATGTCAAGATACAATACATCTAGATATCTACGCAGATATACATCTTATCGGTTCTGTGTCTCTGGAGAACACTAATTCACCGTTCTAACACACACAGGGCACTACTCTTCTCTCAGGCTTTCATCTTCTCATTGCTTTATCTTCCTTGGTTTCTTTTTCTTTAAGAGCATCAGAGTATTTATTTTGTCTTCTCATTGGCAAAGTGAACAGTGAAAGTGAGTCAAGTAAAAAATCTTCTAGGCCTTTCTGCAATTGCAGAGGGCCCAAGACCTGCTCTTGGGTAGATCAGGTTGGAAGACATCAGAAGACCAATTTCTAGAGACACGAGGGTCTACTATTTAAAAGACATAACTACAAGAATCATAATTTGGCTTCAGATTTTGAGTTACTACTTCATTGTTTTCTCCCTTTTCCTCACCCTCTTCCCGATGTAAGTCTTGTTCTTCATTCCCTTGGGAAACTATATGTCAGGGTGGAAAACTGAAGTAATCTGCAATACATTCTGATCCTGGTTTTCCAAAGAGACAAAGCTCCAGTTTAATTCAGAGAGCTATACAGATGATAACAAGGTACAGACAGAGTATCCCAGAGAATTGGGGGGAAGACCAAGGTTTCTCCACTCCAGGCTGGAAAGCAGCAGCCAATGACTTATACCCAAACTTCATGGCACAACTCTAGAATTAGGAGTGGGTAGTATACAGGCACTCTAAGATTGAGTAAGGTAAATTGTAATTGTCTACTGACCTAAGGAATAGCAGTTCTAATAACTGATAACACCGGCTGCCTGCTGTGTGTCAGGCCCTATACAAGGAGCTATTACATGTACTGGTACTATTATTTTTCCCATTTACTTAAAAAGTGGACAATTGGCCTCAAATCAGGTCTCTATTCAGAGATAGTTGTGCCATGGTTCCAGAATCTTTACCAAGAATCCTAACCTAAACGGCCAGTCTCCAGATGCTTACATGATTAACATGGGCAAAGAAACTGCTTAACTAAGGGCTACCATTAGATAACAATAACAGAGTTCAAAAGTCTAGATTAGGAGGAATACTTGTATTGTTAATTCTGTACATTGACTATTTTTTTTTGTACATTGACTATCAATTGGAATAAATTATAACAAAGAATGACTCCTTAGAATCTCAATGCCTCTCTGGGTTCTGCTATGCTTATTCATATTTAAGTAATAATCTGAAAGATGACATTCAAGGAAGACCTATTACTCACATGTTTACTTCATCTTCATTCAATAATTGCATCACAAGCAGAGTAATATGAAAGGAGCCGTCACTGGTCATTGCTTTGGCTAGTTGCTTATCTTGTTGTATTATTGCATTTTGCAGGATCTTAATTCCTCTTGTAATCTAATCACACACACGCACATATACACATAAAAAAGAGATTAGACAAGCAAAATTTCCTTATGGCAATTTAAAAATCAAGAAGAAAAATAAGCAACAATCAAAATTAGAACTGTGTCAAGATTCTTCAACCAAGCAATGCTTAATTACCTACTTGTTCTCAAATATCCTGGATAAAATGACTTGGGAAGCTTAATATGATGTATGAGTTTTTAAAACTTATACAATCCTTGTCCATCTTAAAAACATCAAGCCTGGGGTGCCTGGGTGGCACAATCGGTTAAGCATCCAACTCTTGATTTCGGCTCAGGTCATGATCTCAGGGTCCTAAGATTAAGCCCCACACTGGGTTCTGTGCTCAACATGTAGTCTGCTTAAGATACTCTCTCTCTCTCCCTCTGTGCTCTCTCTCTCTCCCTCTCTAAAATAAATAAATATATCTTAAAAAAAAAAAATCAAGCCTAAGACCCTTATTTTACAAATTGGGTCACTGGTTGAATCTACTTGTTGACAACCTCTCAGGATCACTGGTTGAATCCACTGGTTGACAACCTCTCAGTGACCAGGCATCTTTTCAGAAACTTGTCCTTGGACTATGCAGCATGACTCACGATAATTATGATCTTTCTGTAAATAAAAAAAAGTTTCATTCTTGCCACAGAAAGGTCAAACCAGCAGACAACATTCCATTCCTGTTGGAAGTATTATTTATTTGTCCCCAAATGAATGTGTCTGAGAACCCATTCTTCATGGCCTTTAAAATTTTTTAGGACAGCAATAATCTCAACAGGAGTGACTATTGTCATTTTTCCAGATGTGTGAGGAGGGGCATAACCATGGAGAGAGAGTTGCAAAGAAGTCCAAATGCATAGGTCAGAAAAACGATTACAGTATGCATGGAGGTGAGAGCCCTCGTCTCTCATCAGACTGTCCCCTCTCATTCTCTGCTCTGAAACAAGCAGGGGAACGATGCTCTTCCCTCCATTTCCAGCTAGGTACAATCCCAGTCAGCTTCTCCACATGAGTGTACTGAAGTTGGTTTGAATGTGAAACAGCAAACTGAGCAATGCTCAGAGAACAGAGAGCACATAGAAGCTCTGAGGTGGCAGAATTCATCAGAGAGAAAAGGGGAAGGAGAGGGGGCTGGCAACTGAAGCAGAGTCCATTAAAAAACAGCAGAGATAAGAAAAAACGGAATCATGAGCACAGCAGACTGTTCTGATACTAGAGTAGCTGTTTTATCCTGAACAATGTCCCCATTATCTGCAGAATGTGACTGGACAAATCATGAGATGCCGTCCCAGGATCTGACTTCCCGTATATATTTACAATAAATCCGCATCACCAAAAATAATCTCAGCATTTCTTCCCTCCTTGCCATCTGGAAGACAGTGACACAGGAAATGGTGTTTTTCTGGGAGGAAGTTATGCAGTAACACCTAACATACTAGTTCCCAAGGCAAGAGGTCACTTCCATGAAACCTAGCAAAAGAATATTGATAGCTTGATAAAGTGCTCCTGACCTAATAGTGTGCAAAGATCATACAGAGTCACTTTGCTCTATTCTCTATCAATAAAACTAAATTGTAAACAGCTCAAGGTCAGTGTTCATTATTCCAAAACCACCCTCTCACCATGGTGACTTGTAACAATAATAAAAATAACACTTAAAAGTATACCTGAAACTAATAGAACACTGTATGTTAATTATGCTGGAATTAAAGTAAAATAAAATAGAGAACTGGCATGAGAACACATCAGTAAATGTCAGTTCACATTATTCTAAAACGTGTTTTTCACCTAAAATTTATTAGACAGTTTCCAAATCATTAAATATATAGAATATCTTCATTTTTTTTAATAGCCTGGGGTGCCAATTTAATTATCTACTCCATTACTTATAAAGTTTTTTTCTCAAGAAAATAGCTTTTAATTAAGAAAACAAAACAAAAAAACAGTACTTGAAGAACTGTAGCAGTAACTAACCTTTATGGTGTGATCACTAGGTTCTAGATACTAAAGTAAGCATTTTACACATACTGGTTCACTGAAGCCTCTGAACATTGCTATGTGGTAGATATGGGAATTAACTCTATTAAAATAAATTGAAAAACAGATGATTTAAAAAAAAATCTCTTCAAAGTCATATACCCAAAACAGCAAAGGAAAACTTAAGGATAAATTACAACACATGAGAAAAATGCCACAGGTACAAGGAATTAGTTTATTTTCAAGAGGGGACAAACAAATATATGTGTGTGCATATATATATATACACACATTTATATATATATATATATTATATATATATATACACACATTTATATATATATTATATATATATATACTATATGTATAAATGGAATCTTACTAAGGCATAAAAAGGGAAGAGATCTTGTCATTTGCAAAAAAATACATTGATAGACCTACAGGAGTATGCTAAGTGAGAGGAGTCAGACTGAGAAAGACAAACACCGTAGGATTTCACTTATATGTGGAATCTAAAAAACAGAACATATAAACAAACAAAATCCGGAAAGTGACCCACAGATACAGAAAACAAACTCGTGGTTACAGAGGGGTGGGTGGTGATGGGATGCTCAAAATGGGTGAAGGGGAGAGGTGAAATACAGGCTTCTGGTTATGGAATGAGTAAGTCATGAAGATGGAAGGTGCGGCGTAGTGAATATGGTCAGTGGTATTACCATAGCATTATGTGGTGGCAGACGGCAGCTACACTCGCAGTGAGCACAGCATTAACGTACACAGACTGGTGAAATCACTATGTTGTACAACTAAAACGAACGTAACACTGTGTGTCAACTATACTTCAGTCAAAAAAAAAAGTCATACCTCTAAACAATATAATTACATCCCCAAATCTTAGCTGGTACAAATGGTAATTCTGGTTTAACTGAAAATGATAAGTAGCACAGGATGAGAACTCTGTTTTATAAACAGACTGATGCAAATTAAGCGTGCTGGACTTGGCTCAGAAATTCTGGATTTTAACCCCAAGTCCACCACCTCTCCCCGACTCTTGGTTTTTTCAGTTGTAAAACAGGAGTAACAGAATCTGCATTGCCAAATTTAGAGTGTTGTGTTATAGATCAAAGTAGATAAGCTACATAAAAATACTTTGTAATTTTTGTAATTTGTAACTTTGTAATTTGTAAGCTCTACATCATTTGCCTAATAAAAGGTATAGAACACTGCCAATATGAAAATCACGGTTCTTTACCCTATGCAGCTTGGCCTCCCTGATACCATTTGGCAATGTTTGGAGATATTTATGTCATAACTGGGGACTTGCTATTTGTTTTTTGTTTGTTTGGTTGGTTGGTTGGTTCTTTTAAAGGTTTATTTATTTATTTGAGAGAGAGAGCATGCATGTGTGCCAGTAGGAAGAGGGGCAAAGGAAGAAGGAGAGAAGCCGCCTCCCCACTGAGCAAGGGATTCCATCACAGGGCTCGATCCCAGGACCCCGAGATTATGACCTGAGCTGAAAATAAAAGTCGGGCAGATGTTCAACCGACTGAGCCACCCGGGCACTCTGGGACTTGCTACTTGTACCTAGTGAGTAGAGTATCCACATTTTCATAAAAACACTCCATTCTGGGCTCAAATACTAATTATATGTAAATCCAGGATAATGACCAAAAAATTGCATTCATTCATGTATTCAGCATTTTAGTGCAATGTCCAGCATGCTGAAATAGTTTCAGACCATTCACATTTTTTAATTATCTAGTAGCTTGTAAACTTAAAATTAAAAATCATACAATACTTTGAAGATTAATTCTCTAATGTCACACAGTACTTAGGATGCAGGATTAACTTCAACCTATGAAAATTCTAAATATAACCTAATCAAGTGATATATTTCCTTTTTTAAAAGTTTTATTTATTTAAGTAATCTCTACACTGAGCATGGGGCTTGAACTCACAACTCTGAGATCAAGAGTCAGATGCTCCCCCAACTAAGCCAGTCAGGTGCCCTGAGTCAATGACCTATTTCCAGCTAGCTTTGATCCTCCCGATGATGCTCCAGATTAATTTATGTATTCCTTGATATCAAGTTAAGAGGTTTTTAAATGCTTTTTGATTCCCAATTATAGTCTTAAAACATAAAAGAAAAAGGAAAAAAACCTTCAGCAGCTTTTTCCACAAGTGCCAATGTCATTAAAGGCCAAAGGAAGCTAATTTTTACAGCCACCGTTTAAAATTCTGTAAAGCCATCAAAGCTTATCACCCTAATCCCCAGTCATTGACAGTACTGCACAGGCACATTCTAAAAAAAACCTAATACTACAGAATCATATTTAAATATGATACTCAAAGAAACTTTTTAAAAATATGAGCATTATTAAAATCTTAAATATTTCATTGAGTATTGTCTTTGTGTTTAGAGAACAAGAACAACCAACCACCTGTTAAATCTCACCACTAAGCCATATTCCATATGGCTAAAAACAATGCAGTAAGAAAATTCATTTTTCTATCTTTTCAAGCTTTCTAATTGACTCAAGGCATATAAGAGTGCAGAGAAAAAGCCTTAAAGTTACAGTGCTTCTGCACAAGGAAGAGAAGTTGCATTCTGACATAGAGCAGGAGAACGTCTGTGACCCCATCTTTTGACATTATTTTCAGAATTTTTCAAAGCTGTTAACTTATGTTGTTCCTAAATTTGCTACCTCATTAAGATTTACTAGAATTATCACTTCAGTTTGCTATGTAACTTTTCTTCAATGCTGAATACTTTCATTTTTCTTGCTTGTCTATAACCACGGAAAGAACTTGAAAAACTGATGACATAAACAAAACTGAAGCAAAAAATCATTCTTCAATAGGAGAAGTTTTGAAATCTACCAAGTGCTTAACATACACACCAGGATATCAAATACTTTTACAATTACATATCCCAGAAAAGAAGTGAATACTCTGATTATGTTTAGAAGACCAGCAACTTTCTCATGACAAAATGATGAAATATGGAATTAAATGCAACAAATGCCTTTTAAAACCCCCAAAGGAAATCATATTTTTCCATTAGTATAAAAAAATCATCTTATAAAAATTTGATACATTCCTGAATTCAGTTTCTAGTTCTCTTGCATTTTTTCAGTACTGATTTACCTTGTAATATTACCACTCAAAAGAAAGCACATAAAACCAACAAATGAGTAAATCCAACTAGGATTAATAAACAATTCTAGCCACTTAAGAAACATTAGGATTTATTATAAACCCATTAAGTTTTTCCTGCTTTATTTTTATTTTTGAATGAATGCATAATTGCAGGTAATGGAGAATCACATACTTTCATATACTGGAAATTAGGATATTTTTATGCAGCCCTTCTAATGCACTTTCTAATTCTATTTCTTAAAAGTATGAAATCATGAATTTCCATTAATGAAGAATTTCAAACATTTCAAAACCTAAAAATAGGTTTAAAAAATCAAAGACCAATATAAGTCTGAATACTTTTTTCTTTAAAACTAGATGCCAACAAGTAGAGGCCAAAAGTAGAGCAACTCATTGTGAATGTGCGAGCTTCTACAAACTTATTTGCAGGTCACTTAATTGGAACTTGGAATACAGTCTCCCATTGAAACAATGTTATAAATGCTGCTTCTTTTCCCAGGCCTTCCCACAAAAGCTCATAAGCAGTTTTAAAAAAAACTTAACACTTGATATTTTAAAACAAACAAACAGAAAAGATGTTCATACAAAAGATGGCAAATGTGTCTCTTAATGTCCCATCCTACCTCTCCTCCCTGTATTTGTATGTAGGCGTTCTATTATCTACAAATAAGTCTCTTGAGAGGGAAACATTAAATTATTTGGTTTCCAGGTAACTTGAAACCTGCATTCCCCATAACTTAAGTCACCCTACCCTCAAAGGATGACTATTAAACTGCATTATGAAACCACCACTTGTAACACTGTATTTCTTATTTGTAATTATTGTAAATGTTTTGATGTAACTTGGTATGCCACAAACACATCTCCAGCCCTGAAATGACAGTATTTTGTGTGTGTGTATTTCTACCCCTGCCAAGCTCCATTCTAGGTACTGGGAATGAACCGAAGAACTCTGTGCGGAAGGCAAGCTTCCTCAGATTGCAAGGGTGATAGATCACAAAAGGAAAGCTATGGGAGCCTGGAGGTGGCAGGGTGTGGGTGACGGAGGCACAGCAGTCACCAGTGAAGAGGTTTGAACTGAGATTTTGGCCTCAACAAAACCAAGAGGAGACAAAAGAAAACTCCCAGACAGAAAAGGCTTTCTCGGGGCGGGGGGGGGGGGGGGGGGGGGGGGGGAAGGGGGGGCGGGCAGAGGAAACCTGGCAAGTTCAAGACCAGAGGGGTTCAAGCCGAAGGAACAAGTGCCAAAGTGGAGAAAGCCGAACCGTGCAGATCCTCGCAGAACACAGTAAAGCCTCTGTCTCTGTCCTAAAACCACCAGGGAAATAGTGAAGTATATAAGCCGGTGGTTGACATGTCCAGATTGGGTTTAGAAAGTAATCACCTCCATTTTACACCTAAAGAAATGTAAACTACAGAAATGAAGTCACCTGACCTACATCCACAGCGAGCTTAGAGCCCACATTGTATTCAAACAAGGCCTGTAGGACTCCAAAGTGGCACTCCCCACTTTCTACACAACCTCCCAGAAAGTGAAAAACAGAAACAAAGGCTACGGCAGCTTACAGGGTGAAAACCAAGAGCAGCAGACCATCCTCCCTCTTCGCTTGCTCCAGGCACTTCTGTGGCCCAAATCCTGAACTCTGCAGCAGAAGGAAAGAATTGCTCGACCCCCTTTCATCTTCATCCCCTTCCCCATCCTGTCCCTCCCCACCATATCACCCCACTGATCTTCACTGGAAGAGGCAAGAAGCCAAAACGAGGCCAGAAAGGGTAGGGTCGACATGAGCTGCTACTGAGACCACCACGGGAGCCACGGATGGAGGAGTAGAGACAGACTCCATGAAGGGCCTCAGTAAAGCAACTTGCAGATGTGCTCCCCAAACTTCTACCCTGACGGAACGTAGTGGAAAAATCTCTGCGCAGCAAAGCAAGATAAGGAAACTGGGGTCTCTTCCAGTCACAAATCCTGTATCCGCATGGGGAAGACTCTGCCTGTTTCACATTCTGGGTCCTAAAGAGCTAGCTTCTGACTTCACAGTTAAAGTACTGTCACCTCTGACTTCCAACTCTCTTCTAACTCCTATATGTGCAGATGATCTTAAATTTCAAAGAAAACCTGTCCAGATAACTCAGAGGTATTTTTATACAATATATAATATGTAACATAATAATTGCTCACGACATTAAACTCTGTACCACCTAAATACTTGTAAGGACAACTGTACTGCTAACCCACCAGTTTCTATTGGTGTATACCATTCAAATCAGAATCGAATTCATTACTGCATTAAATTCTAAAACCTTACATTGCTTTTTATGTATCTTCCTCTCCCCAGGTACACTGTGATTTCACAGACTAGAAATTTCGTGGAATGTATCAATAACACTTATTTTTTTTCTTTTGATATTTATTTATTTGATTTCAATTGCATTCCTTTTGGTTTTTAAAAATTCATTAGCATTCCCTAGAAACTCTCTAGTTAAATAAGGGGGGGAAACAAACGCAAAGTGTGCCTGGTGTGAAAAAGAAAACCACAGAAGGCCCAAAGGATAGGGGTCTCATGTCAGCCAACCAAGACTTCACACCTAACTGCCCCCAGGAAGGGAACCAGTCCACATGGAATTTCCCAGTCAGCAGCACGACATTCACTGACAGAAGCCTTCCGTTCTCCTTGCAAGGGTGACCTCACCTAAAACAAGGATTCTCTGCTAATAGTTTCCTTCTTTCCTCTCTCTCTCTCTCTCCCTTTAAGACCCCTCTTTTTTCTGCAGCCTGATGGAGCCCTTTTCTCTCTGCCATACGAGATGCTGCCTGATTCGTGACTTGCTCGATAAAGCCAAAGGGATCTTCAAATTTACTTGGAATTTTTGTTGTTTGACACTAGTAAAAGAAGAGATCACAGTCCTTCTGTGACTCCCTCCTCGTCGAGGGAGCTGGTCTTCCCTGCCTCGATGCTCTACCAGTTCTAACAGATACGGCAGCTCTCAGCTGTGTACAAGGGTTTCTTAGTTTGGGCCAATTGGTCCTGCTTTCTCTTATTCATACCACATTGATTTTTCAGAAGTTTAATAGATTTCTACCCTAGTTTACCATGCCACATTAAATTGCCATAGCAATGAGTAATTTTTAAAGAAACTGTGTTGCAATTACCATCGCCTTACACGAGACGAAGCAGCAAGAGATCCCACTTTACTTTCCCAGCAGAGATTCCAGAATCCTCTTTTTCTACCTGGTCACTACCCTCTGCTTCTGAAAGGTTCCTCCATTGTGGTGGGCAAACGCTTAGAGAGAACCAACCTTGATATGCCACCTGGCAACACTTTTCAAAAGGCTTTTGCAAAATTATTAACTATGGTTGTTTAAATACTATTTCTCAAAATTACTGTTTAAATATATTATATTGCTTAAATAAGATTATTTCTTATATAGCCCAGCTAAAATACCATCAAAGAGACTGAAGGGTTGAGAGCAAATGGGCTTACAAGCATTTAGTGTATCTTAAATCTAATTTAAAATAAAAAAAGTGTTTTTTTTTAAATAGCACCTCTAAAAAACAAAACAAATGAATGAACAAACAAAAAAGCAGAAACAAATCCATACATACAAAGAATTGACTGGCTGTCTGAGGGATGAGGGGTAAGGGGATGGGTAGAAGGGGGGAAGGGGAGACGGAGGTACAGCCTTCTAGTTATGGAATGAGTAAGTCACAGGGATGAAAGGCATAGGGAATATAGTCAATGGTATTTTAATAGTGCTGCACGGTGACAGATGGAAGCTACACCATCAGTGTGACCATGAGCATAGCACAATATAGATCGTCAAATCACTATGTTATACAACTAAAATCAATGTAACATTTCATGTCAACTATACTTCAATTAAAAAAAAAAAAGCACCTCTTTGTTGGTGATCGGAATGGATAAGAAATAGTTGGGCTGATAATCTTTTTGCTTTTTTTTCCTCTTCTTTATTTGATCCTTACTGATCCGTTCATTTTCTTTACTTCTCTCCAAATTTATGTGAGGTACATCAGTGACTAGAGGGAAAAAGTCAAACAATAATATGTCTAATGTATTTAAACAAAGATATTTAAGTCAAAAAAATAAAGGAAACAAGCACTACATAAGTAGCAATCATTCATTATAGTCATTTTTAAATCTAAAGCAGTAGCTAGCAAACTATTCTATAAAGGACCTCAGAGTAAATATTTTATGCTTTGCAGATCATATGGTCTTAGTCAAAACTAACCAAGTCAGCTATAGACAAACACAGAGGATAGGTATAGCTGTGTTCCAACAAAGCTTTCTTTTTTTTATTTAATTTGACTTATTTATTTGAGAGAGAATGAGAGCTAGAGAGAGAGGGAAAAGGAGGCTCCCCACTGAGCAGGGAGCCCAAAGTGGGACTCGATCCCAGGACCCCGGGATCAGGACCTGAGCCGAAGGCAGATGCCCAACCGAATGAGCCACTCAACTCTCCCTAATAAAACTTTCTTTACAAAGCAGGTAGTTAGCCAGATTTAGCCCACAATCTAAAGCACAACTAACAACCATCTTCTTCCCCATGCCACAATTTTCATGATACTAGGAAAGATCATTTTTGCATCCATCTTGTATATGTGTATTTGTGACCTCCACAACATAACCACTTAGAGCAATGCACTCAAAGTTTGGTTTGTGGTCAATGTCATGCCACAAACTTGCAAAAATTAAGAACAGCTTTAGAAACTTTCACAGCAAATAGGCAAAGTAATTTTGTCTATAAAATGTTGGTTTCTATTTTGTGTTCTTTTTTTCATTTTTCTAATAGTTCATTTTTTTTTTTTACTGTATTTTACAAAAATATCAGCTGGCAACAAACAGAAAACTTAAAAAAGAAAACCAAAAAACTAGTCCTTAACCACAGATAGTCGAGAAGCAGGCTACTCACTAAAGTAGCTTCAAAAGACCCATTTACAACACCCAACAATTCTAATTATGAAGCTAAGCCCCCAGAAATAATTACCAAATCAGTATGAAATGCTACTGTCTCCTTTTTCACAGACTCCATCAGGGACTCCCCGTATGTATGCAAAACTACCACTGATTGAATTTTCAAGGCTGTGTCTTCTTGAACAGCAGCTTTCTGTTCAAAATGGAGTGCCTAATAGAGACTCTGCACAAATTCAAGTATAATTGCATATTCTGAGGTATGACTTTAGAAAGAGGTAGGAGGAAGAAACCACCTTATTTACATTCAATCCTATGAGGTTGGTTCCATCTTTGGGATCAACTCTAAGAGACTTGGGTGATCGTGACACACAATGTCTTGGAAAGGTCTATGGGAAGTCTGAGTTCAACCAATAACACACTGCTTGTGTGTCTACACAGTCTGATGTAACTGAACTCAATATACATGAGAAAAAGAAGAGCAGAAAAAATTCTAAAAACTGCTCAAAGTCAGAGAGTCAAATCTGGTATTTAGACCCTTTAACTTTCTCCTTCTAGTTTATTTTCTACTGGATCAAACTGCTTCTCTGTTGAAGGTCTGCAAAACCACAGAGCAGAAGTAATTTTCCTCATTCTATTATTCTTTAATTTTTTTTTTTAATTTTTAAGTAATCTCTACACCCAATATGGGGCTAAACTTAAAACCCTGAGATCAAGAGTCACCTGCTTCAGCAACTCGACCAGTCTGGTCCCTTACTGTTCTTTAAAATATTAACAGTGGGGCACTTGGTTGGCTCAGTCAGAGGAGCACGTGATTCTTGATCATGAATTCAAGCCCCACATTAGGTGTAGCAATTATTTAAAAATAAATAAACTTTAAAAGGTTTTCAAAAAATAAAAAATAAATATAAAGAGTAAATATTTTTTAAATAAATGTCACAAATGTTATTTTAGTGCTAACTTCTAAGAAAATTAGTAGAGTATTTTAAAATTTAAAAACTAAAGGTCTATAGAAATAGACAGGAGGAACATACTCTAGGAGGAACATACACTCGTGACATCTACAAGGTAGGAGTAAATTAAGAGCAAGATAACCTGGGTAATAAGTCTGACTATATCATTATGAGTTAGGGCAAAATTATCTGGTATATTTGTGCATCCACTTCACTACTATATTTCTGAACAATATATCTAATGATTAATATGGTTAAAATGATATATCCTCACAAACAGAACATGTATTTGAAGTATAAATTATCGACTTCCTATGTATATGCAAGCTTGTCACAACTTATAAATTATATTGCTAAGAAAAAGTTTGCTGCATTCTCATCTGTATCATGAGCATCATTTGAATTGCCTCATATGATGCCATTGGGTTTTATTTCCCATGCAATTCTTTAAATATGGAAAATGAAATCAATATGTTGTCAAGCTGCTTGTAATTTTAGACATCTAAGAAACAGTACTACATTCGATTGTAGTAACAAACTAAATCTACTAATTTTAAACAGAAGCCACAAAATATGCTAATAAAGTACCATATATATTTTAAACCCACGTCTGAATACATTTCTAGCCCACCTCCATCTGTTCTTAGTAAACCGGTACTCCAGAAATGGAAACCAATTTTAATAGTCTGGATCAGAGTTTGTGGGTTGGACTCCTGCCAACTCCCAACTTACTAGCTGTGAGATCATAGATTAGTCACATGAACTCTCTTTACTTCAGTTTCCTCCTCTATAATTTGAGAATAATGATAATAATAGGTACCTCAGAGGGTCATTTTTTGAGTGAGTTAATACATGCACACTCTTAGACGACTTCCTGGTACAAACTTAGCACCATCATTAGCTATTATAATTATAAGATATTACCCAAAGAGAAACAGAATTAGGGAGATAAATGTGTACCTGCTAACATCATTCAGAAGACTCCAAAAAGAAACCAAGATGAAATATAAACTATCCATTGTTTTTCATCATCCAGGCCACTTGTACTCTCCATTATTATGGACAATGAAGAACATTCTTGAGCAGTTTTTAAAAAACTGAAGAAAACACTGAAAAATATTTCTAAAGCAAAACAGCCATTTTTTAAAGATAAAATCACAGGCTAATTCTAAATAAGTTCCCAGTATCCTTCGTTTTATATCCCATTGTCCAAATCAGGACACAGGGTTAACCCCACCCAGCACTGGACTGGAATAGTGAGTTAGCAACCTAACCCTATGAGGGAAAAGTAATCTACGAAAGGAAAAGGATGGGGAACAGCTGTCGGCAAGGCAACTGGTACTGTCTTTCAATCCTGTAGAGGCAGCACTACATAGCGAAAAGAGCAATGACCCAAGGCATCTTTCCATCAAATCACTTCATTTCTCTATCTGAGAACTTAGAAAGTTTCCCAATCCTTAGAGAATAGTTTATTCTAGGTCTGAGGCATAAAGTATACCAGAAGAGTCTGGATCTTCAAAGACTTCCGGCACCATGTGAATCTGAAAGTCCCCTCACTGGCCAAAGACGGCACAATTTCAGCATCAAATAGAATAATAACTTCAGTGGTGTAAGAGACATCAACTATGCTTCAATCCTTCAGTTCATTGTAATACGCAAAGGAAAAGTGAAAGCCAAAATTCACAGGTCATCTTTGGATTGGTCTAAAGAACTATTATTTTACGAATTTGGCAATAAAAGAAAAAAAAAAAATCAAGCATTTATCCTGCCTTTCCTTATTAGCAAAGATGCATACAGGGAATCAAACAGTTAACAAAGGCAAAGTTCCGTTTTATAGAAATTTTCAGCTAAAAATGCAAAAAGACAGAGTTATAACATCACCATTTTGAAACCCTTAACAGAGCAATGGATCAGCCCAAACACTGTCAATGGATGATGCATTAAATAGAGAGCTGATGGGGAATTTTAATAATGGATACATCAAGTAACAAGAAGGGAAGCCACTGATAAATCTTAACATCACAAAAAGGCAAGACAACCAAACACCATATGCCTCCTGATGTCACACAATAGGAGATTCAAAGCATTTTTACAGCTCTCTTGCCAATATTCCAAAACTTAGCCGAGATTATTTAATCTACCAATTTACTTAACTATAAAGGACAGAGAAATACATTAAATGACCATAATATAGGTACATCTATACAGCCTGATTTCTTCAATAAACACACACATACACACAAAGGGAGATCTATAGATGGAAAAAAAAAAAACTGAAGAGATTTGTCAATCAAATATAATGCATAGGCTTTATTTCCTAATTCAAAAGAGTTTTTAAAAAATTATGTCACAGAGAAATGTGAATACTGAGAGCATATTTGATGACATTGGCATTTATTCTTATTTTCTGTCATGGGAAGGATATTTTGGATATGCTCTTTTTTAAAAAAGATCCCTTATCTTTTAAAGTCACATACTAAAGTATTTACAGATAAAATATATCTGGAATATACTTCAAAATAATCCAGTGAGGAAGAGTGACAAAGAGATGAGGTTCAGTCTACTATTCTACTTTTGAATAAGCTTGAAAGTTTCCATAATAAAATATTTTTTAAAAAACAAAAACAAAAACTAGGGGCAGGGGCAGGCGTGGGACGACAGTTAGATAATCTCTATCTAGAGTCTCTCCTAGCTAGTTTTCTGTCTTCTGTGATAAAGGCAGTAATTTAACACCTGTACCAATTAGGATATTTCATGGTGAAATTAGATTTAAAAAATGGTATCAGTTAGAAGAGCATGTGACTCCTGATCGCAGGGTCATGGGTTGAAGTCCCATGTTGGTTGCACAGATTACTCAAATAAATAAATAACCTGAAGAAGAGGAAGAGGAAGAAAAAGAAGAGTGTCCAAATTAGTAATACGGCTGATTTTATCACCTGTAGTTCATTTCAAAATTAATATAGTAGAAAAAGAATCTTGAACCTATAGTCTAATTTTTCTTTTTTCAAACTGCTAGTATCAACCCACTAGTGGGTTATGAAATCAACTTAGAATATCATCTAAAAGCACTTTTTAAAACCAGGAATGAGGGGCGCCTGGGTGGCTCAGTGGGTTAAGCGTCTGCTTTTGGCTCAGGTCATGATCTCAGGGTCCTG